ACAGCGGTGCCGCCCGGGCGGCCCCAGCACGGCGGGCAAGGCGGCCGGAGAGGGGCCACTGCCGCCCCTTCGGGGAAAAATGAACTGTAATTCGCGGGAATAAGTATAGTTCGAAGCATGGTTAGGTTTGATGGTGGCACGGCGGTCCGTGCTTCGCCATCACCTGACATCATGTGAATGAATCAGTACAACAGCAAAACGAATAGACTTTGGGTCGAAGCGCTCAGCTCTGTCTGGCGCCTTCTGCAGCAGCGGAATACAGATAAAGGCAGTGAAACAAATGAACTGGCAAGCGCTAGACAAATTAAAGCTTTTATAAAGTTAGTAGGAACAATAAAGTGTTGTAAAACATTATTTTTTTTAGAGAGCTACTGCACCCTTCATAGGCAAACTGTCTCCTTTAAAACAAGTAGAATAAAATAAATATTTTGGATAATGAAAAAGAGCAAGTAGACCTCCAACAATAACACTCTTAATTTTTGTTTTTTTATGTTGAATGAACCCTCTGATTTGCAGCTCAGGCCGCCAACAGTAATTGGACAATTCCACACTCTTTTTTTTGGCTCAATTCGAATGTTTTTTCTTGGTGTTTTGGGCTTTGCTGTTTATGGAAATGAGGCCTTGCATTTCAGCTGCGACCCAGACAAGAGAGAGGTTAATCTTTTTTGTTACAACCAGTTCAGACCTATAACTCCTCAGGTAATTATCTTTTTCTGTCATTTATTTCATGGTTAAAATCTAATGTAAAGAAAGTAAACTGCAAAAATTAAAACATGATTGTTCCATATAAGTACTAGCTGACTAAGCTAATTATCACTAGCTTTCATTAATATGTTCCTTTTAATATCCCTTTATCTGTGACTAAATATGGAGCTGTGCTTCCTGTCCTTCAAAATAATCCTCATTTTTCAGAACCCAACTAACTTTTCAAATCAAAACATAACTGCTTTTTACCTTTATTGTCATCTAAGTTTTTATGCATTTGATATATATTTAAAAAAGACTGTCAGAATGTTCCAATATGCATGTGTTTTAGCTGTTCCAAAGCAGTTGTAGATAATCTGACAACTACATTTCTGCTACATTTTAGGTATTCTGGGCATTGCAGCTGGTGATTGTACTGGTACCTGGAGCCTTTTTTCACCTTTACGCTGCTTGTAAGAGCATCAAACAGGAAGATATTCTCCAAAAGTCATCCTACACTGGTTTTTATATCTTTTCTGTTTTCTTAAGGATTGTCCTTGAAGTTGTGGCTTTTTGGCTTCAGATTCAGCTCTTTGGTTTCAAAGTGAACGCAATCTACATGTGTGATGTGGGAGCACTTGAAAAAAAGTTTAACATTACCCGGTGCATGGTGCCAGAGCACTTTGAAAAGACAATCTTTCTTATTGCGATGTACACATTTACCGTGATTACAGTGATCTTGTGCGTTGCTGAAATTTTTGAGATCTCATGTAGAAGGCTAGGTTTCTTAAAAAATCAGTGATGTCAACCATTCACACTCATTTACTGCTCTGTCCACCTGCAGTTTTGTAACAATTATTTCAAACCACAGCAAAAAGCATCTCCTGTCCTCTATGCAGTGCTGCAGAAGAGAACCATGCTCATGATTACTGAGGCAGAATAGTCACTTGACATAAACTGAGGAGTCTAAACACTTGCACACTATGAAAATAATCTTTGTTTCCATGTCAAGGTCAAAGGCACTCAGATCTCCAAGAGCAATGTATTTTCATGACCTGCCACCTATGATAGTTCTGCCTCTAGAGGAGTGTCTATGTGTGAGGAGGTTATTTATAAACATACTTCTATTCACAGCTTTTCTGAACACATGCCATAGGAGTTAATAAGGTCATTGCCCTTCCAGGAAAAAATATTGCAAATTTCTTACATGTTCTTATGGCTTGAGAATTGAACAATAATAGTGGATACTCTCTGGGTAACAGAAAGCATTCCAGCATCTTCCCAAGAAGTGCCACTGAGATGCAACCTGCCCCCAGGGGCAGAGACTCCTGGTTAGGCTGGGGTGACAACATATCCATAGATACCAGCTTTGCAGAGGCTCAGCTACTGTCACCTGCTGGCTCAGATTCTCCTTTTAAAAGTGAAAGAATAGCATTTTAAAATAGGTATTTTTGTGCTGACCACAGCGCCTCATTATGTTTTGGCTTAGCATGTAGGAGATTTTTACCAATTCAATATGATCTCATTTTGAAGGAAGAAAAGGGCTTTTTAACAATTTTGCATAAGCAGCTTAAAAGTGTCAAAATAAAATCTTGGAGAAAAGCCTTTCCTAGGCCCAATCATGATTTGATTTCAATGCGCTTTGCTTGTGTGTGACTGCAGAATTGGGCCCACAAAATTTTCTGCTGCTTGTGTCACATCTAAATTTTCCTTGCTCTGACTAAAGCTGCTAGAGTAACAGTGAAAAGAGAACTCTGCATATTAAAATTATTCTATGCAGTAAGTGGTTTTGGTTAGATTAGGTCTCAGACTATATAGGCATCAGATGTTTTTGTGTGCAACAGCTTATTCTTAAGGGCTAATAAACATTAAATTTAGAAGTGATTTCCTTGTGCTGAAGTGAGATAAAGGAAATAAAACAGATTTCAGAATCAGAAAGGAGGAGGTAGTTTCCTGTATAATATATATATAAATAAATAGAAATAATAACAATCAGATATTTTCCATTTGTTTTCCAAACATAAAAAGTTGAGATCCTGATGACAGAATTCAAAAATATTTAGAAAATTCCAGAAAAAATTCTTACCAAATGTTTTACCATCAAGTGTTAGTGAATAAGTCCCAAACACAGATAAATTATCAGCCTTGTAATTCTCACCCACAAAAGTAAACCTCCTAAATAAATGGAATAACAAGTTTTAAGTGTCTTGGATTTGACTGAAACTGGGCCTTTTAAAACAAAGTGGGCTACAATTAGATGTGTTATTTTTTTTAACATGCTGATCAAGATGAAGACAATAGATTTCAATATATTTGCTATGTTAAAAAAAAATTTTTTTCCTTACGGAAATAAGTTATATGTTGTCTTAAATAAATGTCCAGTCAAAGCTTTCAAATTCATGCAATATTAAACTAATCATTTGATATTTTCAAGCATTGCAAGTGAAATAAAAATCACTGTGCTCACTTCTTGCTTGTATAATATGCCATGTTCTTTGGTTGATACATGTTTAATTTTTCACTGTATATGTCAGTATACATCTGGAATTATTCTTTCCAATTGAAATTTGTAATCTCGGGTAAAAATAAATATTTATAAATATTTATAAATGTGCTCAGTACATGCTAGATACCATGTTACCAATGGTACACAAATCCCACTTCATCAGTTATTTGTATAATAATAAAATAACTTAATCACAACCTTGTCAGTATCTTCCCTGGTGCTTAATATGTCATTGCTTGCTGTTCTTCTGCAAATTTCCAAACACTTCAGAAGGGTCAGAAGTGTGCCAAAACCCCCAAGCCCTCAGGACTTAAAGAAGTCCTTGTTACCATCAACAGCCTTGAAGAACAACTACTGGCATGGGACTGCCTGAGGATCCCTGGAGTGCTTTGGGAGCTGGGTTACCCACCACCACGGCCTTTCTCTTTGTGGTCAAATTCTGGAACATATTAAAAATTTTCCTTCTTCCAAATCAGAGGCACTGCTTTTTTTTTTTTTTTTCCCTTTTTCTGCAATTTCTGTGGAATTAAAATTGACAAATTCCTTAATCTTTCATTTAAAAAAAAAAAAAAAAAGTGCATTATTGCCTTTTAATGCAAATGTTCCTCTGTTTCTGATTCTGCCATTAGTTTCTGGAACATGTTGATAGAGATATTATATCCATGTAAAGAAATCATTTCCCCATGGATGTCAACATTTCTCTTTCCTATATTTGCCATTTGTCTTCCCAGCGCTCACTGTATTCTCAAGTGTCTCTAAACTTTTCTTTTGCTTAGTCTTCCAAACTCCCACCACTTTCATCCTCATTTACATTGTTTTCTTTCGGTTTCCTTCCACCCTTACTCCCTCTGAGATTGATATGCCTTCATGTATTTCTCAGCGTTGAGCTGATTTTTGCTCAAATATTTAGCAAGTATTTGAGATGATCATGATGGCTTTTTTTTTTCTTTTTTGCCATTAAGAAAGGAATTATATAATACACTTGTGGATTCTTTGATTTAATTCTATTTCTTTACGTAGCAAACATGAAGTCCTGTTTCCCGGAACACTGAGGAAGCATTTTTGTTGCTTACATCAGGTTCATACTGTAAGTGCTTCTTTGACTTTTTCATTGTTTTCCACCATACTCTAGCCCCAAATTTTCACAGATAGCACTCAAAGCAATCCCCAGCTCATGTGTTTGCAGTCAGTTTTGTCTCTAGTCAGACATGACTAGTTCTCACTTAACAAAGAGCTGTAATTGTGATGTGATTGCATTTACATCAAAGGTATAGCTGCTCTGGGCCACCCAGCTTCTAGTACAGCACCACAGCATCCCACACAGTCCTGTAACCACTCCTTTTTCTGTTCCTTTCACGGATTCCTCTCTTCTGTTCAGACATCATTTCCCTTCTGCTCCCTTTTTGGCACACTCCCATGTTAGCAATGAGACAAAGCAGCCACCTCTCCTACCCTGTGCCTCTGTCCAATATGCACCTTTCTTTATGCCCTGGAGCACTGACATGCTCCTCCTTTGCAAACAGATACTTTGAGATCAAGAAGAGGCTTGGCAAAAGGGCTGCCTAAAAGAAATTCAAAAATAGTTTTAACTACACCATTAGAACGAGGTAATAAACACTGAAATAATTTATATTGCAATAACTCGTGAGATCCATTTAAAACCATTTTGCTTTAACAGTTCACATTTCATTTGCTGTTCTTATCCCCTCTCTGCAAAATCAAAAATACCTGGTGGTTCCTCTGAGGAAAAATCTGGGAAGTGGTGATCCTAGGAGATGCATGTTCCAGGGCTGAAAGACTTTCTGACAGCCACCAGGAAGCAGCCCAGTTCTATTAGCCAGGCCATTGTAGTATTGCAAAATGAGGAATATATGACATATTCTTAAAAAAGGATTTTCTTTGATGTTTAATCTTTAAATACTCCCAAGCTTAATCAACGACAAGGGAGATTTAATCTGTTAAAACAGACAGCAGCTAACAAGCAAGCTCTAACTGATGTCCAAGTGTTAGAAAGACAAATCACTTGGTAGGAGAATTGCCTTGTTTACCAGGTTTACATTGCTTGCCAGGTTTAGAGCTTGACATTCTTCATTGATCTCAGACCCTGGGAGAGGTTAAAAAGGCTTGGGAAGAAGGATGCCCACTTAGAGCTGACACAAAGAATGCAGAACTTACAGGCCACAGGGCAATTTGGCAGAACTCACAAAATAAGGAAGAAACTTATAAGGCAGAGCTCAGCAGCTGCACTGCAATCAGCTCCAACCATGTAAAGGGTAGTTCTGGCAGGGGGAGATCCTGACCACCAGTTCATGGACCAGTGACCCAAGAAATGCAGTGGATCAAATGAGAAAGACTAAACACACTCACTAATTAGCATTAGAAGCAAGAGAATCATTAACGATCAGAAGACAGAAAACTAATTAATTAATAAGAATGTAACCTGTAGCATTTGTTTGCTGAAATGTATAAATAATAAAGTGTTGATAGTTGGGGTGTTTGATTTATGGAATACCCCCAAAAACTCAGGCCCACACAACTCTGAAATAAATAATGTCTCTCTCGAGTGTGTATTTATTGGTTAATTGCATGCCAGGTAACAAACCTGGCAGTTTTGGGGGATAAGGAGCAGAGGCCCAGAAGTAAGGGCACAGTTCAGGCCCCACGGGCCTCACGGACTTCGGTAAGCCTTGGTGGAGCCCAAGGAGCAGTTTCAATCTGAGAAGGGATTTGACTTGCAGGTGTATGTCCAGGCCGGCTCTTTGGGCTGGCCTGCCAAAGGCAAGGAAGCAGGAGAGCTGGGGAGGGCATCACTGCTCAGCCCCGGGCACCGGGGCCAGCACTCCGTTCCACGCTGGGCCAGGGAGCAGCCCCGATCGCCCCGACGTCTGCAGCCCTTCCTCACGGCGGCTGTGGGATGTTTGAAGTACTAAGGGGCCATGGAGGTGGCCTTTCAGGCTGTAGGTCACCATAGACAGACGAACAGATAGACGGACACACGGCCCGGCCGGCCCCCTCCTGGCCAGCAGGGGGCGCTCCCCGCGCCCCTCAGCCCGCCCACGGGCGCNCCAGTCTGGCCCGGCCGCCGCTGCACCGGGCGGAGCGCTCCTCCCCTGCCCGCCCGGGCTGCCCGCGGGGCGTGCGGAGACGCGGGGACAAGCCCCACCTCTGGGCGGTGCGGGGTGGTCGCGGTGTGCCTCGGCTGCCGCTGCAGCCCCACCCGCCCGTGCTCTGCTCCGCGCTGGCCGAGTTCAAGGCTCTCGGCAGGCGCAGCGCCCATTCCCGCAGCCCCAGCGCCTGCTGCTGCTCCACAGGGCCCTGATGGGACAGTCCTAAAAAGTATGGCAAAAAATAACATTCAAGAACCTTTTCAGCGTTTTTGTTTTCCTGAAAAGATAATCCCTTTCGTACTGTGTAACCCTGAATAAGTACTTCGAGTTTGAGGATCTTTAGTGCTGATAGAAGCTTTCATTTTCTTTTTTGGGGGGCTTTGTCACTTTCTCGAGGCTCTCAAAGGGAGTGAGTGGTTTTCTCGTTTTCTGCTTCTTTCACTGAAATGAACACAGCAAAACCTTACTGTAAAACTTGCAAATTAATATGTAGGTTTTTCTACAGCTGATGTGGCTTCTAAGCTAATGGTTGTTAGCGTGGACTGTGAGCCTTTCTAAAAGACTTTGCATAGTGAATTAAGGAATGCAAGCTTGCTGTTAATTCCTGTTACAGTTAAGACGCATTTATAAAGAGCCTAAGACTAGCAGATCACCAGGAATGTTTATGTTGTTGACAGCCCCCTGTTAAGGGGAAGGAAGATGACTCATCACAGCGTTGGTATTTTTATTGAGATACGAGGTCTTTCTTGTCTTCAAGAAGAATGAAATAAAAAAATAGATGTAGAACTGGTAGTTTTTCTTCATAAGGTGATCCTAGTTTAGAAGAAAGAATTAGTGAAATCTAGGTTTCAGATAGCTCTGAGAAAATTGTCGTCTGAGTGACAGAACAATAATTTTATCTTTTCTGTGTTACACAGGAATAGTGTGCTAACGTGGAACAGTGTGACCAGGATGGGGAGGTAGCCACATACTAGAATGCTGGATGTTCTCAGTAGTACTCGTTTTTTATGTACTGGAAGAACACTGGACAAAGTGACACTGTGTGTGGCAGGAAGCACAAGCTGGGTCAAGTTGCACTGGGAGTTTTTTTGTTTGTTTTTCTTTATTTTTTTGGATTTTTCTGTCAGATGTAGCACCCTGTCTGACTATACAAGAAAAAGACATGCATTAGTGTATGTGATAAAATACAGGTCTGTTTTAAACCAGAAATATTTTGGTGTGTGATCTTTACTTTTCTTTGGTTTTTGCATTCTGAAACTTAAGTCTTAGTGTGGAGGAAAAGAAAAGCCTGTGTTGGATAACCACCATATTCTGTAAGGTCATTTGCCTTGTCTGTCCTAAGTAGTCTGAAGTTTTGTTTTTCATTTGAGTACTTCAAGACATCTGGTTCATTACTGAATATAGCAAAGACTATTCTAGAGGTATCTGTTTCATTACAGTATTACGTAAAGTAAAAAGCACTGACACCTCTTTTTCAAGTTAGGTCTTGCTCAGATCCTTTGTTTTTTTAAATACACAAAGGAGAAGAATTTGTTTTCACCAGTGTTCCACTGATGACACTTGTTTCCTCCTGTGGTGGATGAGTTTGTCTGGATTGATGAAAATGCAATACTCCTGCTCCATAGTTGTTTTTTTTCTTCATTTAGTTCTGGCTTTGAAGCAAAAGTAAGGTTTATGAACCAGTAATTTTTAACACCATGGGTTTGGAATAATTACATGGAATCCCAAAGTATTAATTATTAATATTGCTACTGTCAAAAAAAAATGTGCTGTATATACTCCTAGCATGCTATAAATAATAAAAGCTTTACTAAAAAGATTGATTTTTTGAAGTGTAGAGCAGGGAATACAAGAAAATTTTAGTATTCCTTTTGGATAATGTTTTGAAAACCGTGCGGATTTATGTAGGGTTTGGTGTTCTCTGCACTGGCACTTCTCCACCAGCCTCACCTGCAGGCACATGCCTGGCACCCTGCATGTCCCGGGACAAGGGGGCTGTTGGGTCTGGGATCCTGCATGTCCCAGGTATGGGGGGCTGCTGTGCCTGGGATCCTTCGTGTCCCAGGACAGGGGGGCTGCTGTGTCTGGGATCCTGTGTGTCCCAGGACAGGGGGGCTGCTGTGTCTGGGATCCTGTGTGTCCCAGGACAGGGGGGCTGCTGTGCCTGGGATCCTTCGTGTCCCAGGACAGGGGGGCTGTGCTGAGGCACAGCAGAGTGCTCCGTGCTGAGGCACAGCAGAGTGCTCCCTGTGCTGAAAGGCCACGTTCCATCACAAAGCTGCTTACACAGCCACTCTGTGAGTGGGATCATTGGTTAGCTAGTGGATGTAGCCATCACTCTGAACAGTGATGTGCTTAGAGCTTTGGAATGTTGATTCATACCCAGAAAAAAAGCTTTGGTCACAATATTATTAATGTTGCCATGGCACAGTAGTTTGCAGTATGGGCATATGTATGCTAGATTTTGATTTATGTTAATTTTAGTTAAATTGCACTATTATATGTCTAATAATAAATGACACAATTTAATTGGAGGATTAGAGGCAAGTGAACTCTGGCAAGATGTGTTTGCAACGTAAAATTTTGCTTTCTAAAGCTTAGCAATAAAATTTTCAGAGAAACTACTTACTACTTTTGTTAATGTTTTCATCTCTCATAATAGGTGCTGTAGGTGTACTCTTAAAGCTGGGAATTTATATGGCAGTTACATGATTTATTTGCATGCACCATTTTTTTTTCCTGTGTTGTAGTGCATTTTGAGCATTAAGCTAGCATAAACCAGTAATGCTCCTAAAGAAAATGCTGTAGTCCTTCTCTGGCCTCTCATTCCCAACCCTAGAGTGCTTTAGAAGCAAATGTGGATGTAATTGTATGATGAAAGACAATAATAAGCTATTTTTCAACCAGGCCAATTCACTGCTGCTTAAACAAACTTTGTCTGTTCTCACACAGACAAAGAAAAGGAACAAGACACAGTGGCTTGGGGCGAAGGCAGGACTCCTGCTTTTTTGGTATTGCAGGCATATGTTGATTTACAGAAACTGTAATTTAATTAACGTTAATCTGTTTTACACAATATAAATAGCTACAGCGGGGATTATTTGTCTTTTTCAACTGCCACATAATTTTCCACATGAAGAATAAAATACTGGGCATTGATGTTCTTGTACACTGTAACACAACACTTTTTGTTGTGGTACTTCCACATTGCAAAAATTAAGAAACTGGTTTAGTGATGGTAATTCTGTGTAATCTATAAAAAAACCTTCATTCTTAACCTTTTTTTAAGTATTCAGATTGAAAGAAGAATATGATCAATAGCTTAATATGTTGTGTATAATCTGTTACCTTTTTTAGCCCTATCTATTGTTAGATGATGGACGTAATTGATTGAAATAATTAATTTTTTCCCTGACAGTGACAGCACCATAAATTCACATGGTTGTAACATTTCTTCTACCCAGAAAACAGGCTCTAGAGAAATAAAGAAACCAAGTTTGTTTTTTACAAATTTTTAGTAGGACATGATTTTACAAAATAATTATTTTAAAGAGGTTTGACACTTAATGGTTAATGTAAGTATCCAGCACTCTGGTAATCTACCACCTTATTTTAAAATGCTTTACTCCCCATATGATACTTTTTTACTTTTATATTATTTGTTAATCATTGTCATTAAGTATGTAGCTATTTCAGGTGCAGTAAATGTCAGTTTATTCAGCAGATATAATGGAATACCTGAAATTTATGCTATTTTGTCTGCTATTTAACTTTTTATGTTAAAAACTTATTTGAATCTAACTGTTTGACTACTTTGAGGTGTTATTTGCAGACACAAGGAGGCAGGCTCCGATAAAAAAAATCTCTGGCCTGTAATATCTGAAGAAATCATATCTCCAACTGTAGCATAGGCACAGGGTTTTTTTTAAAAGTTATTTTTTAAAAGAAATATAAACTTTTTTTAGAAATATTAACTTTTACTTACTGGAAAATTACTAAAATTTACTTTTTTTAAAAGTTATTTTAAAAAAAAATAAAATTGCAAGGTTTGAGACATAACTGTATTTTCCAAAAAATTAGAGTTAAAAGCAAGATTTTCCTTAATGGCTGTTGTTTCAGCCTTCCAGTCACATTATTAATCTCTTCGAAAAGATGAGTGGTAGTCTGTACTTACTGGACATTGATGTTCTAATTCAAAAGTATTGAGAGAATTCCAGTGAGTTGCCAGAAAAGGACTGATGTTTCATGTTTGGATAGTCGGTGAATTCATGTGAGAACTTAGAATTCTGGGAACTTTCAAAAAGCAAAGTGTGGTGATTTTTGCTTTACAATCTACTAAACATCAGGAAACAATTATGTAAGATCAGTAGATATGATCTGTATAAAAGAGGCATGAAAAAAAATTTTATTTTTAATTCTTGAGATGGAAAAGCGTCAGAGAAATGCTTCCAATGGATCACACTCTTGTATTAGCATTTGTGGTTTTCTAAGACAAAGCAGGAGAGAAAAGCAAAAGAGACAACTTTTATTCTACAACTAGTTGACAACTTCTTGAACCAAAAGTCATTCAGCTTTTAACAGAAATATCCATCTGTTAAATGTGACTGGCTTGTCACTTTCAAGTGTAGTCAGATACCTGTGAAACAAACTTCTCTCTGCATACAAATTCTAAGAGTTTTTTTAGTACTATTGTTATTATTACTAAGAAAAAATTGACTGTGAAGTTCATGGCTTGACTAAAAATTTGGGAAATACAGTAATAGCAATTTTACTACTGAAATACTGTTATTTTTTACCAATTCTTATCCTTTACCAATCCAATTAGTCCTTCTTAATAGGAAGGACTAATGATGGTCAAATATTTTAATTGAGCTTTTAAATTATTCAATCTTTTATTGTATCTTGATGCATTCTGAATGATTAATTTAGAAGATGCATGCAATTAAGAAGTATAAATACAGTTAAAAGTAACTGGTATTTGCTGTATTTGGAGAGATTCAGCACGTACTTAGTGACTTAATTTATACTGGGACATTGTTGAAATGAAATGCATAAAAAAATGTGTTGTAGAATTCCATCTATAATATGATCAAGTCCCTGAGCTATCCTGTTTAAATATTCATCTTTTGTAATTTATATAGTCCATTTGTAAAAGTATGTTTTTTGTATTTTCTTATGGCTGGTGGCAGAAAACTATTTTGTGGGCTACTAATACAGCAAATGTTTTAA